TCCGAGTGCCTCCCCATGGCCCTGTTGCGAGGATTCACTGAAGGGCTGCCTGATTCATCCTTGGATCACAGGAATTGCTCAGTAAATGATCTCAGCTACTCAGCACTCAGAGAAGTGCTTTTTAAAAGCATATGCCTGCAACCCAGCACTTAGGAGGCTGAGGCAGGAAAAGTGCTCCAAGTTCGTGACCAGCCTGGGCTGCAAAGTGAATTCAAGGCCAGCCTGAACAGTATAGTAAAACCCTGCCTCAAAAAGACAATAAGTAAATAATAATAGCTAGCACTGATTGTGAAGATTCTTAAATGCTTATGAAACCAGAATGTTTTAATAAATATTCATATTCATCAATTAGGTTTTTAAATTATTAAACCGAGTAAAGATTTCAATATCTCCAATCACCCAAAGAAATCAATCTTTAGGAGGTTGAAGAAGAAATTTTCAATGGCTCAAGCAAATTGTTATAAAGATACATCGGGTCTCCAGCCTGGTCAGGACCCAACAACCAGAGAGGGGGGTCATGTTTGATCCTTGTCATTTGTCCCACCAAGTGAACAAGGCCCCCACACTGGACACGGCTACAGTGTTTCCCTGATGATAAGGTTCTGTATGGTTTGTCTTCTACTGCCCAGCACATTCTGGGAGACATAAAAATCCTTCTTAAATTAGCAGAGAGAGCTTTTATTTTCTTACAAGCGATAATCAGTCTGCAGAAAGGCCACAGCTGCCATGTCTAAGGAGCTGGCACCTGATGTCGCCCGAGGTTAAGATAATCTATTCTCTCAGGAGGAAAACAGGAGAGAAATCTTATCAGGGAAAAGGCCCAGGCCCTCTGGCCTTCTGGAAAATTACTGAACTATATTCTAACTACGAAAATCAATGTCTTGAGATCCCAATGGGCCTGCAGAATAAGCAGCATGGCCAAGGAGAAAGTAGAACCACGCCGGGTGGAGGGGGTGACATTTGCTGGCACTGCTCCGTGCTGAGCTCTGCGGTTCCCTTCGGCCCTCATGGGAACACTGGTAGGCAGATATTCTTGCTCCTTGGAGTCACAGTCAGGGAAACTGAGGCTCTGAGAGGTGAAGCCACTTGGCCAAGATGGAACCAGGGCTGGATCACTCAGAAACCCCTGTCCTTTCCTAACTGTCCACTGCGCTATCATGTGGTCTCAGAAGAGTCCCCTGTCTTGTCATTCTGGGCCCCAGTTTCCTCTCCCTGACAAGGGGATGACGAGGCCTGCCTGGCTCACAAAGTTTTCAGAAAGATCTAGACTCAAAGGGCCACAGAGTGATCTGAGGGGTACCCAGGACTCAGCTGGGGACCGGGGTTACCCTTGTTGTTGTCCTCAAAACGGACAACATTGGAGCTCTGGAAGAAGAAACTGCAAGGCCCTGTCGAGGGGTCACAAGTGCGATGTTGGCACAATGGGTCCAAGGAAAATCACTGGGTCCTCTAGGTCCCCAAAAAAGGAAAGAGGGGAGGAGGCGGGAGGGAGAGTGAAGAGGGTGCTTGGGGTGTTGCTGTTTTTGGTAGCTGCTCAGCTGACGGCTTTCCAAGCTGAGAAACACACATATACAAACTCTAACCTCCTCTGCCTTAAAATAGAGCAGCTGAACCCAAAACGCCAAGCACAGGACACAGTCACTTGCCTGGCAGGGCCAGACAGCTCCCCCATGGCCCCATTAATACCCATCCCAGTGGGCAACTTGACATAGCAGCTCTCAGCTGCCTGTCACAAGATCCTCAGAGGAGCGAGAGGGGGCCTGCCAAGGCACCCACCTCAGAGACGCAGAAGGCAAGGTCCCTAGGCCACCAGGGTGGGATGCAGCCAGCACCAGATGGCCCAGAGTTCAAGTCCTGGCTCAGCCATGATCTGGTTACGAGGGCTTGGTGAGCCAATGTCGCTTGTTTCCTGGATTGTGTAGGGAGTTTCCACAGCACGGTCTGTGAAGGTGCCCAGGAAAGACGAGCTGAGTGTCTTGGCCTGGCTACTGCTTCTGAAGGCAGAATTCTTGACATCACAGGCAGAGAGTTGTGAACAGAGAGAGAGAAAAAGCAGCTACTGGTCCAGGGACACCTAAAAGAGGCACACAGTAACTCTGATAAGCCTTAGTATAGTCCTGTGGGATGAACATTAATTTCAGTCTATTTTTCAGGTAGAGAAACTGAGGCATGGAGAAATAGAAGGGTTATGACCGCCAGCACACAGCTAGAAAGAGGAAAAGCAGGGATTTGAACCCAGGTCTTGTGGATCCCAGCTGTGCTCCTGATCAAGACCTCATGAACTCGCCCCTGAGACAGTCCTGCCCATCCCACATGACCAAGCCACTCTCCCAACCCTGCTGTCCCAGCAAGCTCTTCTCAGGCACTTCTGAGCTGAAGCTCCTTGGCACCCATTTAACTATACTTCAAAACTTCAGCCTAGGTTTCTGCCCCTCTGACTTCTGAGAAGAATGAGAAAACTAAGCTTGCAGACACCATTACTAAAAATAAAGTCAAGACAACTGTGCCAGCACCATTGCCACCAGCACGCTCTTTTGAGGCCACTGAGCTGCAATCCTGCCTCTCAGGGGAGATGGGGTCCAAGGTCCCATCTACAGGCCCTGGGCCCTGAGTCTGCCTGGGAAATGAGTTCCTATAAGGCCAGTGTCTACTCCCTGGAATAAATGTAACAGCGGCTGGCACTTCTAGACAAGCTGGGGCCAGGCATCCTCTCAGGCTTCAGGTCCATTGGCTCAGGAATCCTCAACAACTGCTGTCCTGTCACCAACATCACAGGGAAGCTTCCTGTTCCGTGGGGTGGAGGTCTGGGACCTCCCTGGGCTGGAACCCAGCCATTGGCTGCCCTCCTTTCCGGAGGCTCGGAGCAGGATTTTGCATCCTTTGCCTTTTCCAGACTCCAGAAGGCACCCACCGCTTGTCATGTTCTGTGGCCTCCTCCTTCCTCTTCAGCACCAGCTGCCGTCACCCTGGTTCCCCCTCCCGCTTCCCGCTTCCTGTTTTAAGGACCCTTGGGATTACACTGGGCCTACCCAGGTGACCCAGCATCACCTCTCATTCTGAGGTCAGCCGATTAGCTACCATGCACCATCTATGATCATAGCAGCCTCTCTTCCATGCAGCCAAACATAGTCACAGGTCTAAGGACAGAGCCTGGACATCTTTGGGGGTTAATCTGCTACACAGCTCCTCTTGAGTTAGGCTTTTTAAAAACGCTATGACACTGATGAGGGAAACTGAGGTATCTCACACTCTTGTCAAGAAACAAAGGTAGGCTCTAAACCCAGGAGTTGGGTATAGTTCATCCTTTTAAATTTCATATGTTACTGCATATGTCCCCAGTCTCATTTGTCCCCAGTCACTGGGTACACACGTTCTGTGCCAGGTTCAGGTGCTGAGACCAAAGGGTAACCAAGATTGGATCCCTGTCCTCAGGGAGATGCAGATATAGAATGCACGAATTGCCCTGTGTTGGGAAGAATGAAGATGGCAGGAGCCCTGGGGCCTCCTGGAGCACAAAGGCGTCCACTGCAGAGGACTCGGGAAGGCTGGGCGCCTGAGCTGAGAGCTGCAGTGTAGGTGAGGGGTTAGCCAGCAGTACCGACTTGGGAAGGGCATTGTGGGTTTGATTGAACACATCAGTCCGTGTAAGGTGTTTCTGCTGGTGCCTGAACCCTGGGAGAATGCAACAAATGTTGGCTGCTGAGTAGGATGGGGAGAGGACTGTCCCAGGCTGAGCAGGAGTTTGTGCAAGGAGCTGAAAGCTTGGGGTGGCCAGGACAAACAAGGTGAAGGGGTTATGGGCACAGAAGTCATTGGGAACCGGTGATGCGTACCAAGGCTGCACAGAGGCCTAGGAAAGCTGGGTGCTCTAGAGAGCTACATGTGAGGCTGCCCAGTGCGCTGCTGCTTGGTTTCCACACAGGCCCACCCAAGAGTCTGAACAAGGCATGACAGCGGGGCTGGGGACAGGAGTGGGCTGGTCAAGGACTGAACTCAGTGGAAGGCTCCCCATAACCCAGCTGCTCTGGCCAAGTCTGTGGTTCTTTGCTTTCTCTCCACATCCAACTCATGAGCAAGTCCTGTTGCTGCATGTGTCAGGGGAACACTAGCTGCAGTGACAGATAGACCCTCAGATCTCAGAGGCTCAACACAGGGAACAGTTCAGAGCAGTAGAGGCCTGACAGTAGAGCCCTGCAGTGTTCCTCTGGGGCTGTGCATTCAGCCTGCAGGTTAGAGGGTGGAGGACAGAGGGGCTGGGTTCCAGGGGCCAGGCCTAGGCATGGTGTGTGTCACTTCTGCCAGGTTCCACTGGGTACACTTAGGTCACATGGACACTCCTAGATGTCAGGGAGACTGGACAATGTGCCCAGCTGTGTGCCCAGCTCCACCTCCCCCGTGTATCCTGGGTCCATCCACTTTTCTTCATCTCTGGCGCTGTGTGCCCATTCAGACTACACCCTCCACCACCCTCCACCTTCCGCACAGCAGCCTGAGGCTTTCTTTTCTTTTCTTGAGAAACGAGAATCAGCTTGGAATCCTTGTTCCATGTGTGTCTTTCTGCTTACAGCTCTCCCGGCTCTCGGTTGTGCTGAGGAATAAACCCACGTAAGACCCTCCGTGAAATCACCTGTTTCCCTTCCGTCCCACACTCCCTGCATGCCAGGTCTCTCAGCTCCAGCCACAGTGGCTTCCCTGCTGCTCCTGGCTGTCCCCCCACCCCAGCTCCCTTCTGCTTTGAGTATAAACTGATGCCCCACCCCAGCCTCTCCTCCTGACTTTCCTGACCATCTAACCTAGGGGTGCCACCTCCCCCAGACACACAGTTTTCCATCCGTATCACGCCTGTCTTCTCTTTTTTAGTGAACTTGTGTACCAGCTCTGTTTCCACCAGGAACCTTGCTTGCACTAGCAAGTGCTTGACAAAAGCGGGCAAGCTTGCCAGATGATTGACTGAAGGAAAGCACGACTGACTTTCCCAGGGTCCCGCGCTGAGTTGGTGGCAGAGGCTGGACTTCTGCGGACCCAGGTGGGGCCTTTGCTCCAGATGTCGCTGTTTGCAGACGCTGGGGCGCCGGCGGATAAAGGGAGACAGCTGCGAGGGGGCGCAGGACGAGAATTGCGCAGCTGGAGAGCCCGCGCCTCGCTCCAGCGCCTCGCCCGGCCCCGCCCCCGGCTGCCGTGGGGGGTGGGGGCGCCCCCGTCCCGTAGGCGCTGGTGCCCGGCGCGCGGGTCCCGGCGCGGCCATGAGGAAGCAGAGCGTGCGCACGGCCGCGCTCATCCTGTGCATCCTGTCCTACCTGCTGGTGGGCGCCGCGGTCTTCGACGCGCTCGAGTCCGAGGCGGAGCGCGGCCGGCAGCGGGCGCTGGCCCAGAAGCGCGGCGAGCTCCGGAGGAAGTACGGCTTCTCGGCCGAGGACGACCGCGAGCTGGAGCGCCTGGCGCGGCAGGCCGAGGCGCACCGCGCCGGCCGCCAGTGGAAGTTCGCCGGCTCCTTCTACTTCGCCATCACCGTCATCACCACCATCGGTGAGCCGCGCCGCGTGCCCTCTGCGCTCGCTGCGTCCCGAGCGCCCCGAGCGCCCCGAGCGCACGCAGCTGGGTTTCCATCCCACCTCTGCCCTGCCCGGTGAGGGACACTGGACGGGTCCTTCCGGCTTTCCGAGCCCCATTCACTTCCCTCTGCCCATGCACTCCACCAAGGCAGAGCTCGGAGGCAGTGTTTGCAGAGCCTGGCACGGGAGCGCTCCAGACACCCCCAGGACAGGGGCCGGGTGAAATGTGGCGGGAAGACCAAGGACCTGACCACTGAGCCCCGCTGTATGAATTTAGACAAATAGCTTAGCCTCTGAGCCCGTTTTCTCCTGTAAAAAGGAGTGTTAATAGGTCTTATCTTGAGGCCCTGGGAGACGATTGTCAAGGAGATTATATGCAGAAAGTTTTACCACAGGGCCTGACACATAGAAAGCACTCCCGAAAAGAAGATTGGCTTTTGCATTATAATAACTATTCCTTATTCCATGAGAACCGAGACCTCACATGTCTTATTCAGTGCTGTATAGCCAGTGCCTAGAGCATAGTAACTGCTCAATAAATATTTGTTAAAGGTAGGACTGATTACTGCAAGCTTTGTACTTCACCCTGGGGCATCCAGGGCAGTACCTCAGCAGCATCTGGACTGCCAGCTGTTACCATGACTACCGTCTGGCTGCTACCTGCTGAGCCTAAGCCTGGGGAAACTGCAAAGGAGAGAATCCAGCTCAGCAGAGCACTAAGCTTAGTGCCAGCCTCTCCACAGGCTCCTCTTTGGGCTCACACCGCCAGCCCCGAAGCGCTGGCCTTGGAGGAAGTTTCTCCATCATGCTCTTGCAAGTGTACAGGAATTGTGGGTTTAGTGACTGAGTTAAACATGTAACTTCTGCAATTTCATAGACTGAGTTCTCCCACCTGGCTTCTCAGGCAATTGATTGTACCTTTCGGGGCTTTGGTTTCCTCAAAGGCAAAATGCAATTCTTCTTGCCTCACTGGTTGCTAGGTTCGAGTGAGGTCAAACATATAAAGTGCTTGACAGGGTACCTAAGGCCAAGGAATGTACTATTTGTTAGTAATCTTAGTTCATTATTTGCTGCATTATTTGCTGACTATGGCCCGGCTCTCATTCTGTTCCTTTGCCCTTCCTGTCCCCAAAGCTGCCGCTGTTCCCTTATCCCAGCTTGGCCTGAGGTCCTCGCTGTGCTGGTGCCAGGGATGTGGTGCCCCATCCAGATTCTCTGAGGGCATCACTGATGGGTTTAGTGTCTCTCCTGGCTTTGCCCTCCTGACACAAGAGCCTGCGGGAAGATAGTAACTTAAATGGAAGCTGGAGGACTTTTGCTTTTTCTGGCCACCAGGGGGTGCTGCCCCCTGCTGTGTGGTCCCCTCTGCTTACTCCATCCTTGCAGAGAGACCTAGCCCCCAGGGCCCAGGAATCTGAGCTCGGCTCAGATAGAAGTAGAAGAGAAGCACTGAGGTGGCAGGGAGGACAACAGTTAACAGCTCAGGCCCTGGGACCTTTGGACAGCTTCCTCCTACAGAGCTTGGTTTCCTCATTGTAAAATGGAGATAGTACATCATCCTGTAGAAGATAACCCATGTTCAGTACCTAATATGTCTAGTTATTATCATTATCCATGTCACTTCCTGCACAGACCTAGCTTAGCCCCAAGCAGCTAGACACAGTACTTCCTGGCCTCTTATTGCTAAAGAGGCCCCTCTGTCTCACTCTAGCACCCCCTTAAGTTGGTTGGAGTCAGTAAACATTCACTGGGCCCATGGTCTATATTTTTGTGCAGGACACTGGTGACTATAGACATAGAGAAGTGGCTTCCCGACTTCCTGACCTCAGGGAGCTCACACTCTGATGAAAGGCGATGCAGGCACCCATGATGGAGGAGGGAACGTTGATAGGGCCGCGCAGGAGCTTGTGGGAATGCAGCCCCAGGTCTTCAAACATATATGTTGTACTGATATTGTGAATGCTGTGTATGCCCACACCAAACATCACTCAGGGCACAAAAGGGGATCCAGTTTAAAGAAAGGCTCCTCCTGCCTTGTCTTTTACCCCATTAAACCTTCCAGGATCAAATAAAGTTATAGTTTCTTGTGTATCCTCTGACACCTTTGTTACATACAGGAATTATAGTTTACACACTATTTAGGCTCCTGCTTTCTTCACTTAATATATTTTGAAAATGTTTTTCTATCAGTCCCCAAAGAGATGTGTCATCTTTTCATGGCTATTTAGCAGGACTTGTCAACCTTGGAACTACTGCCACCTGGGCCTGGATAAGTCCATGCTGCAGGGGCAATCTATGTATTCCTCCATGTTAAGGGTATCCAAGCCTCTAGCCTCCAGGTGCCAGTGGCACACAGACACCTCATCCCTACCTCCCAGTAGGGACAACCCAAAATATTGCCAAGTGCCAAGACCATAACCACTCTGGGTTGAGAGTGCTGTATAGTATCCCTTTGTTTGGAAGGCAGCATGTTGTATTTGACCAGGTCCCTGTCAATGGACACTTAAGTTGTGTCCAGTTTTCACTGTAACTGGTGGTGCTGCAACGTCAGCCCGTGTGCACACCATTTTGCACATATGTGCACAGTGGAAAGCTAACTTCCTAACTGCGTAACTGCATAGGTCAAAGGACTTGTATATTTTGCATTTAGATGGAGCAAGTCATCTCAGGGAGGCTTATTCTGTTGTGAAAGTCCACCTGATTTCCTTTGGGTTATAAGCCACGAACACTGTGGTTCTTCTCTCCAGGAAGAGTCAGTCACACAGCTGCTCATTCTACAGCAACTGCACAGTGACCCACGACTCAAGGAAGCAGTCACATCTAGATCCCCTCCAGCAGATGCGGGGCTCAGGGAAGCATCCCTATCCCAGGCTGCACAGGAATGGAGGGTGTTTAGTGGGGTCTGACCCAACAGTAGAGAAGGAGGCAGGATCTGAGAACGGAGGAAAGCCGAGGAAGGGGGAAAGACCATCGGGGAAGAAACAGGCATGGGGAGGTGGGACCCACTGGTGGAGTCACAGTGTAGTTGGAGAATAGAGATGCAAGAAGGGGTGAGGCTGAGGGGCAGGGAAGGGGACTCGGGTCAGGAAGGATCTAGGACACCACTCGAGACTCAGGACTTTGTCCCATGGGTACTGGGAAGCAATGAAAACTTTCCTACGAAGGGGTAACTTACAGCGAAACACCCTGTTTTTCAGGGTTCTGATAGAGGAGATCCTATTGTATAACTTCACATCGAGGCATTAAATATTTCCTTCGCCCCTAAATTGTCATACCCATTTGCAGTTAACCCCTTCTCCAACCCCAGGGACGTACAGGCACAGATCTGTTCTCTAACCCTATAAATGTGCCTTTTCCAGAATGTCATTTCAGTGGAACCATGCAGGCTTTAATGTCTTCAATCAGTTAGTAAATTTACTTTTCATGGTTATTTAGACGTGAGGAAGAGCCGGACGTTGCACAATGCTGTATCCAGGGAATAAGTTGGATAAGGACACACTGTGATGTTTTTAGGAGGCTGCTTGGCTCTTGGCAGCAGCGTTTGCTGTATTTTTAAAAATCCCATTTCATAAAGACATGAAAAAGGATTTGGAGAACTGCTTCAGAAAGTGGCACAAACGGTGGGATCACCGTTTGAAGGGAGGGCAAGTATTCTGAGGGGCGTTAACGGCAATATGTCTTCTACGGTAATAATTATATTTAAGTACACACTATGTTTTGATCAGCCCTTGTACGCTGAGATCCACCTTTTATTGCTGCGAGTGACAAAAGTTTCTTCCATTGCTAGAAAAAAAAAGTCTTGCGGGAATGTACCAGGGGTTTATTTCCCTGTCAAGGGACTGTTTACACTGGGGCTGTTTACAATAAGGGGAGATTAGAATCATGCAAGATTTCAAAGTACAGGGTGACCTGGTTAGACTTCATTTTCCAAGGACCTGGTCAGAGGGACCTGGGGGTAGAGAGGGACAGGGGTGCTGTCAGATGGACCTGCACCCTCACCGCCTTTTCTCCACTCCCGCCCAGGGTACGGCCACGCCGCGCCGGGCACGGACTCAGGCAAGGTCTTCTGCATGTTCTACGCGCTCCTGGGCATCCCGCTGACGCTGGTCACCTTCCAGAGCCTGGGCGAGCGGCTGAACGCGCTGGTGCGGCGCCTCCTGCTGGCGGCCAAGCGCTGCCTGGGCCTGCGGCGACCGCGCGTGTCCACCGAGAACATGGTGGTGGCCGGGCTGCTGGCGTGCGTCGCCACCCTGGCCCTCGGGGCCGCCACCTTCGCCCACTTCGAGGGCTGGACCTTCTTCCATGCCTACTACTACTGCTTCATCACCCTCACCACCATCGGCTTCGGCGACTTCGTGGCGCTGCAGAGTGACGAGGCCCTGCAGAGGAAGCCGCCCTACGTGGCTTTCAGCTTCCTCTACATCCTGCTGGGGCTCACGGTCATCGGCGCCTTCCTCAATCTCGTGGTCCTGCGCTTTCTCGCCGCCAGCGCAGACGCGCCCGAGCGCGCTGCCAGCCGCGCCAGCCCGTCCCGCCGGGGGGCGCCCGAGAGCCGCGGCCTCCACTGGCCCCGCGGCGCTGCGGGTGCCCGGGCCGCCACCTGCGTAGCCCACCGCACCCTCCAGCTGCAGATGCACGCCTGTGACAATCCAGGCTTCTCTCCGCCTTGGAGCCCCACGCCCGTACGCGGCAGCAGGGCAGATAGGCCCCGCGCCCGGAGGAAGTCCATCTGATCCAGCCTAGCTGGGCCAGGCTCCAACTAGATGGGAGGGTCCGGTTTCACCTATCAGGGTACCGCCCCAGGGTCCGCAGAGGAGGGGTGAGGGGCTCAGGGGTGTCTTCTGGCATGAGCATCTTCTGTGGCTCAGCCCCTTCCTCCCCCACCCTCCAGAAATATAGCCATACTGTATTGTAAGCACAAGCCAGACTCTACAGTCACCCTGTAAGTGCCAATCTCTCCTAATCCAAATTGTAGGTCACCTGGGCACTTCTGCCCCAGGAGAGGCCCCACACAGGTGCATGCCAGAAGCCCACTCATCAGACAGGTGACTGTTTCTGTTGTGAAGAGGCAGTTCTTTATGCTGCACGGGAAATGCACAACTCTGGAATCCTACATCAAGGCCAGAGGAAACAGGAAACACTGGAAACAGGAACCGAGTTGGACGAAGGGGAGCTGCACACCAGCCAAACAGCCCATCTCTGCACTGTGCAAACCACCACTCCTCCTCACCCAGCATGGAGCGCTAACCTGGCCCGCGTGTGAATGGTTCTCCCACTTTGGCCCTGGTCAATCCCACTGTCCGGCCCAGAGGCTTTGCTGACAGCTACCAGGACTACCTTGAGGCAGCCCAATGCCGTGGGTCCCGTCTATCATCAGTAGTGTGACCTACAGGTTACCTGGGCCCGTTTCCACATCAGTATGATGGGTGGGGTTCCTCCAGAACTCTGCTCCTGTGGTGCATCTCTGGCATGGCTTTCTAGGACAGGCCTCAGCCCCATAAGGGAATACAAATGACACCCACGGTTGGCCATCCTTGCATCCCATAGAACTCAGCCCTTTAGAACACAAGTGTCTCAGACAGAACTGTTTAAGCAGAGAGCAAGCCAGGTTAGAAAAGCCAAAAACTTTAATTTGAGCTACATGGTCATGAACACAACATGAGCTACATGGTCATGAACACAATGCAGCGTGACCCACTCCAACCCAGGGGCCCTGAAACCCTCCCTCCCTAAAGGCCCAGTGGCTCCTGCTCTGGGAGGGGGCATGAATGTGGGTGAACAGGAGGTGGCCTCCAGCTCAAGGAGCCAGGGACCTTCCCACAACCACTCCACAGGAGGCAGTCATGGCATGAAAGGGCTCGGAGGGGGACACCAACACCCTAGCTCCGGACTCCACTCTGCTCATGGCCATGTGGGTAAAATGGGCAGGGCCACCTGCCCTAGGGGCTTTCAGTGAGCTCCTGGATGTGAATGCTTTCTGCCCATTGACGTGCTGCTGCCTCTGCGAACACAGGCCTCCCAGAGGGCAGAGGGAGCTGATGGAGGGGCGGGCAGGGGCTTGGTCCTCTGGGTCTGGCACAGCACTGCTGCTCAATAAATAAATGCAGGTGACCTTGCCTGATGCAGCTGTGCCTCTGGAGGGAGTGGGCTCAGTGCTTTCTGAACACGGGCACGCCCAGCGCTCCGGGTGAAGGAGCTGGTTGGTGCATCAGCGTGTGAAGGGCATAACCCAAGTATCCACTTAAATTCCTGGGGTGAAGAGAGCTCCAAACTCCTGGAGAAGTGAGTGCTAGTGTTGGCTGAGCCACTCACACCAGGCAGGACTTTCAAAAGCAACTTCCTCCCCCAGAACCTTGGCCTCTCTCTTGAAAATGGGGCTGACAGCACCAGCCTTTCCACCCACTATCTGGAGCTCTTGTGAGGTTCAAAGGACACACGCCAAGAGAAAGCACTGCGAAACAAGCACTGAGAAAGCAGGGCTCGTCGCATCCGAAGTTCGGGGACGATGTCTCTGGATGCAGGGTGCTTCGTATGGCTCCCACTCCTCATCCCCTTGGCCCAGGCAGGAGCAGATGCTTCACTGCTCTCCCCCAGCCGGTCCTGTGGAGGTTATGGTCCAGAGCCCCTAGATTAAATCCTGTGCTCCTCGGTCAGCTTGGTGGACCTACAGAGGCCTCAGTCCCCAAACCCAAGCCTAGAAAAGACATTGGACCAGGAGAACCAAGCAAGGCTGTGTAACCCAAGCATTAGAGGCCAAAAGTGCTGGCCAGGGCCGAGCTGTCCTGGAACAATGTTTTTCTGCACGGGAGGAAGCACACGGGCCCCATGCTCTGCCTCCATGGATTACTGGCCAGGGGGTCTTGGCTGGGCCTGTTTCCTAATGCTTCAGATGGGCTACAACTTGTCCTGGCCATATTTTAGGGTCCTTCAAAGAGAGGGAAGAGGAAGAGTGGGAAGTAGAAGCCCCCGTTCATCCTGCCCTAGCTCTGGCTCAGCCTGGTGGGAGGAGACCCACCTCCAGGATCCAGAAACATACAGGTGACTGCGGGGTGGCTTTGCCCGTGGTGGGCCTGGGTCTTCTGGTCTGTAAAATGGAAATGGACTGAAGGTCCCTAAAGCCCTTTCCTTTAGTATGGAAAGTCATTTTGGTGAAGGAAGATGGAGGTGATGCCCTCCCATGGCAGCCCTGCCCAGAGACTAAAGAAGCATTCTTAGAGATACCAGCTCCAGAAAGGCACCCCATTCCACTCTGTTCCTCTCCAAACGGAGGAGTCTGAGTTGGCAAAAGATCAGACACAAAGGGGACAGGGCAGGCTGAAGTTTCCCCAAAGCTAATGATGAAAATAATCATTCCCCCTCCCCAAAGCCCTCCCTGCTGAGGACAGATGGTAGGTCCTACACCGAATGGTCACAGCCCCTTCTAGGGGGCACGTGCTCACAACGATGATACGAATAAACAGGGCTCTAGCCCCCACCCCACCCCTCCAGGAGGTGAGCGAGATTTCACAGAACAAGAAAGTCATTGAGGGGGCCTTGCTGGCCACCCCCAGGGTGTTGTTATTGCTTCGGAGCTCTCTCATGCCTCTCTCTCTCTCTCTCTCTCTCTCTCTCTCTCTCTCTCCCCTTCCCTCCCCCCCTTTCCCCTCCCCTCCCTTTCTGTGTCTTTTTCTTTTCTCTCTGCCTCTAACCTGAGCAGACAATGGAGAGATGGCTCAGGCTGGAAGGACAAGTCAGTGCTGAGCCCCTACCCCTCTGGCTGGGACAGCCAGGCCCTGCCCAGACTTTGAAAAGTGACCCCTGAAGAAGCACAGCAGTGACAGACAGCTGGAGAGAGAAGCCACTCTCCTACTGGTTCAAACCATCCCATACAGCGAGTAATAAATGAACAGCAGAGAAATCACACTGGTTAAAAAAAAGTGAGGCGGGAAGAGTTGTTCACTGTGGGCCTTGGATAGGTGTCCACCTGGAGCCTGGAACCCAGAGCCCTCCACCATCCCGCCTTAGGGTTCCCCCTCCATGGTGCTGGGAAGCTCTGCAGACGTGAAGGAGAGCAGCGTCTCCATTTCTCCTTCCCACTGCACTGTCCAGAGTCCCATGGAGGTGACAGAACTTAACTTTAGAGGACACCCATGGCTTAACCAGGCTAAGAAGCGGGGAGGATTTCCAAATGAAAGGAATCCCTGGTGGAACCAGGTACAAGGTGTGACCAAGTACAGCCCAGGGTCCTCAGTCTGCAGGAACCAGGCCCTCCACCAAGGCCCAGCAAGCCTCAGACGCATCTCATAAAGAAAATGAGAACCGAGGTTAATAAATCAGAATGCTGAGCTGAGTATAATGGACAGCTCCGGCTACAACCCTACAAGGGAGGGTCTCAAGGGGAGGAGGGAGGAGGAGAGGGGCTACTGGCCTCCGGGGAACCAGGTGGCTGACCCAGGCCCAGGCCAGCAAGGAGACATGGTCTCCTGGAATGTACTCGGGTCTCCTCTCCATCTCCAGGCTAGGACTCTGTGAAGACTACTCCGAGCTAAGAACAGGCCCCAGGATGTGAATACTAAGTCTACTCAGCTAACCTGGACTACGCCCTACACAGCAGGGACTAGGTGAAGGGGACTGGCAGGCTGCTGGATGCCTCCCGGGGAGGTGGCAGAAATGTGCTTCTATAAAGAGGGGCCAGCCTGGTCCTCCCTCACGTGCAAAGGGTTCCCGCAGGCCCAGGGAAGGCCGCAGAGAAGGCAGCTTCAGGCCTCGATGTTGACCTCTAACTCCGTACCCCTTCCTACCACCTTCTTCCCTGGAGCCAGGTGACCGAGGCCAGGTGGGGAGTCCTGCCCTTAGAAGAGACAGTTTATTTAAAGACTAAAGTAGGGTGGCTCTACTGTCCTCCCTGACCCTTAGCCCGGAGGCAAATGGGGAGACAAGATGACCTTTGATCTCTAACAAGAAGGGGTTCTGGACACCACAGTCCCAGGCCCAGCTTTCCTCGGTTCCCTCTTCCCTGAGTACCCCTAAATGCCGAGATGGTGAATTCCCTGGTCACAGGGTTCTGGAAACTCAGGGTCTTGCTGTTCTTCCACCAAAACACAGAGGACAATGTTCTTTCTAATTCAGCCACAGTCTGACCTACTGCAATCCCACGGAGCAAGCACCCTGGCCCACCCCAGGCACCTCTTTCTCTCCTTTGGTCCCAGCTGGCCCCCAATTCCTAGAGCCACCAGAAGAGGGGCAGGCAGGAGGGGATGGATAGATGAACTCAGACAGGCTGCGGCGAAGCTCCTTCCTCGGGCAGGCAGAGGGAGGCCCGAGCTCCTCATCCACTGGAGGGCTCTGGGCCCTGGGAGCTGGCTCCGGATCCTTGCAAAGCTGCCCCTCAGCTCTGGGGCAGGAGTAGCTGCCTGAACCCGGTGCCGCAGGAAAGACACTTGCTGGTAATTGGCACCATGGAGATGGCCGGCTGGGTTCTGGACTTGGCTCCGGGCAGCAAGCTTCCGAGGAGGCAAAATGGGGACGGGTGGGACAGCGTTTGGACAGGTGGGTAGTTTGCTCTGCCACCTCACTTTCTCCTAGTGCAGCCACATCTACCAGGTTACAACTGGCCAAGTCAAAAGTGCAGCCAACCCGTGGGAGAGGGAAGGTCTGAGGGGGTAGGAGGCAAAGAGGTGAGGAAGGGCTCAGGGGGGCAGGTCTCCCCATTCTGCTTCCCCGCTACGGGGGAGAACCCCCTACTCCTCTTTATAATGTGCCCCTGGGCCTGGGGTCCCAGGTCGGGGCTGGGTGGTCTCCAGGCCATCTGGGGGGCCCCTCCCCATCCCTGGCACTAAGATCGCTCGCCGCAGGGCCCGACGGTGCTCTCAAGGGACAGCTGTGATGCCTGCCGCAGCAGGGGACCTGTGGCCGGGTCCACCATGGAGGAGGTGGGGAAGAGCTTGTACCAGCCCACAGCCAGGGTGGTCAAGTCCAGCTCCTCCAGCAGCACGCGGGCCACACCCATGAACTGCTTCCGCTCCATTCGTCCATAGTTTCCCCACACGATCACCTGCAGGGTCAAAAACAGTGTGGCTTGAGTCTGCCGATGTCACTTGTAGGCCCAGAACCAGGACCTAGGCTCCCCAGGCCCAATCGTCTGAGACCGACTCCTGGAAACTCTCCTGCATCTGGAGTCCCCTCTACCACTGGCCCTTCTTGCATCCTCTGCCTGCTCTCGCTGTCCACCTGCTGCCTCTGAATCCTCAGGCACTGCCCCTGCCCCACCCTGCCAAGCCAACTTTTATGAAGTGGCCGCTCCAGCGTGCATCCACTTTCTTTCCTTCTTCCGACCAGTCTTTCCCCCTTTTCTTGGTCAGCATCCTTGTGGAGTTGCCAGGCACTGGACTCTGGCTGCCTGACCCTCACTGGGTGCTCCACACTTCAGCTTCTAGCTCAGGCCCCTTCCACCAAGATGGGCTGGCTCAAACATTCAGGGGCTGGTGGCTTTAGCACAGCCTCAGATCAGCTCAGGACTCTGCCTCTCTCTGCCTTTGTGTGTGTGTTTCTGTGGCTTGAATCCACAGGTTGAAACACTCCTCTAGCTTCACCCGAGCTACATCCCCAGCCCTTTTATTCTATTTTTATTTGAAGACAACGTCTTGCTGAATTAACCAGGATGGGCTTGAACTTGGGCTCCTCCTGCCTCAGTCTCCCAGAGTCCTGGGATTACAGGTGTGTACCACCATACCCAGCTGGCTGTATGGCTCCTGACAAGTCATTTAGTTCACTAAGCTTCAGTGTCCGCGTGTGTGTGTGTGTGTGTGTGTGTGTGTAACTGGAACAATCCTGGCTCAGCTTACCTCACAGTGAGGATCAAAGGACAGAGTGGCTGCAAAAGCTTGCTGGCAGCTTTACGTGCTCCTTAGCATACAAAGTCACATTCACAAGGAGGCTGCCAGTGAGGTCTGCTGTGTCCGAGCAGGCCTGAGATTCAGTTTCCCCTGCACAGAGTGCTCCTGTCTCACAGCTGTCTAAACTGAGGCTCCGAGAAGTTAATGATTTGCCTGACCTATGTTTCCAGTGTTCCCCAGGTAACTGGTAAGTGTTCTTCCCTATTTTGTATTTTAGTTCTTTGTTTTTTCAGCCAGCCTCCCTGTAGGCTGGTCCTAAACTAGCTATGTAGCCAGACTGACCTCCAAGTTGAGACACTCCCTGCCTCAGTTGCCCCAGTGCGGGGACTACAGGTGTGTTCCACCTTGCCTTGCTTCATTCTGTTGTAAAAATTACTTGAGACCTACCAAAACTGACTTCACAATTCACTAATGGGTCTCCTCCCACAGGCTGAAACCCCCTGGTAGGGCAGAGGACCCAGGCTTCCTAGCTTGGTGCAGTCCCACTGTCTGAGCAACTTGGAGCACCCCGGGCCTGCTCTTGGCACTTTGCCTGCCCACAGCGGATGCAGAGACTGAGACACACAGAGAGGTGTCCACATGGCAGCCGAGCGCGGCCACAGTGATCTGTGGCACCCAGCGCAGGCCCTGCCTGCCCTGACAGGCAGCTCTTCAGCTCCAGCTTGAGTGATCACCAGGGTCCTCCCAATGCCAGAGCCAAAACCCTCTCTGTAGCCCAGGCCAAGCCCCTGGCTCCAGAGTGGATGATGGCGGATACCTGATGCAGACCGAGTGCAGGTCTTCCTCCAGCACATGCACACGGCCCACCATTCATGTCACCTGGCACTGGTACTAGAACCCACTTGATAGGTGAAAAGGCCTCAACAGTGGCACAGGGTATTACGGAGCACAAACCAGCCAGTATTTGACTTCCTCTCCATGTGCCCCCCTCAAGGGACCACACCACCCCCACCACATGCACACCAGTGCCCCTCACCTGCAGGACTTTGCCCTGCGGACTCTCAGGAAACAGCAGCACCTGGTTGTACAGCGGGTCCAGCGACTTGCGAGCGACTTTGGTCTTCTTCTTGGCAATGCAGACCCCATTCTCTAGCAGATAGGCCTTGATGTAGGCAGCTGGGGACAGAGGCAGCAGACAGAGTCCTAGGCTGGGCCCTCAGATGGTGGGCAGAGGGAGCGGGTGGGGACAGCATTGCCCGCAGGATGAGAGGGGTCCCGGGGTACATGGGGGTAGGAGGGCCAGGGTGGGGTGGGATCCCACCAGCTCCCCTGGCGGTCCTGACTGCTGCTACTCTTGCTTTCTGCTTCCTTCCTCAGCCCAGGACTCGCCCCACCCCACCTTATCCAGTCATTTGCTGACCACTCACTCAACAAATGCGGGCACTGCTGCATGCCCAGCACACTACTAGGCACAAGGGTGTAATGTAAGCAGGACAGATGGTCCCTGTCCTCTATAAGCTCTGTCCGGAGGGAACTGGAGAAGTTTCCAGGCAATTTCCTCTAGGCTCCTAGACAAACCCTAAACCACCAGTGCCCTGTAAGACTGAGGGGTTCTCCATGGTTAGGCCTGATTTTCTCTTATAGATCCTGGATGTCCCTTAGGATACCCTCCTTGACCACAGCCTCTGCCTTACATTAGGAGAGCAGCCACCACACCTGGCAGTGTCTTGGAGCCTGGCTTGGCAGTCAGTCCCCGAGCCTGGATGATGTCCACTTCCAGTTGACCATTCCGCTCCTGCAAGCCAATCTCCACATCTCCTGTAAGAGACCCCAAAGGTGAGACCAGCTCCTCTCTGCTTAGGAATGAAGGCTCCTTCCCCTGCTCCCAATCCAAATAAAACCAGAGTCAACATTCACGGTCAAGGCCTGGGCTCTGCTGAGGGCTCAGCAGTATGGACCAGGCCAAGGGTTGGGTGCTCAGAGCATATAACCAACAGTTAGAGGGAAGGGAGAGGTAAGATCTCCTCCCTTTCCCTTTCCCTTTGGAACAAGCCTTGGGGCACTCACCCATGGGTGTAGTAGCCAAAGTCTGGCGGCCCACAAACTGTGCTGGCCCCATACTTCCCAGGAAATCACTGAACTGGGCATCCGATGCCAGGCAAACTCCCCCATAGTTAAGGCTGCAAGAAGAAAAGATAAGACAACATAAATGTTCCTGGGGGCCAAAAGAACTGCGAGGACTCAGCAGGAGCTCCAGAACATTCTTCAGTCTATAATGATCTTTGTCTCCATCCATAATGCAATCTCTCCTTGCTAAGCCTTGGCTTCCACTTTTGTGGTGTGTGCATGTTGATAACTTACCTCTGGGGTGGCTCTAAGAACCATGGGAGATTAGAGGTTCCTGGTTCACGTGACATTAAAAGTGTGGTGCAGAGACCAGGTGCATCAGCATCACCTGGAGCCAATTAGAATCACATGTACCCAACACCACCCCCAGTGGTGAATCAGAATCTGCAGTTTAACCTTGAGCCCCTGCATGCATGCAAAAGTCTAAGATGTCCTGGTGGAGGCTTTGGGCCAGGTATGTTGTTGCTGTTGCTTGGCTGCCCAGTATTCACTGCCCTTTCCTTTGGTAACAAGGCCTCAAATTTCCTTTGGAGAGTCCCCTTCCTATGGCATGTCACTGCAGTGGACAGAATTGGCCCCCAAGACTGGGCTGGCTGCTCAGCATGGCCAATCGAGTTAGCCAGCCCACTGAACTGGAAGCTTCGTGTGAAGAGTAGGAGGGCGCAGCCTCTCTCTTCCCACCACACTTGAGCCTCAGACAGGGGACAGAACTGGCAGCTCCCTTAGCCACCTAGAGTCCACAGATGAAGCCATCAAGCTGGGAGCACAGGAAGAGCTTGCCTGAAGCAAATGATTTTATCTTTTGGTTACATAAGTCAGCAACAGTAATGGTAATTATTATTTTGTTTAAACCAGTTTTATTTTTTCCCCCCTACCTTTACCTCTAACCATCCCATTCCTATCTCTGAAATGGAAATAATAATGTTCCCCTCTCCAGAGTCCACTGTATTAAATGAGGCAGGGTACTATGCTCCATGCCTGATGTACTGACTGTCTTCAGGAGCAAAGCACAACCTAATTCTTGTCTGATTCTCACCACAATCACAGGAGGCTTCTATTTTGTTTTGTTGTTTTATCTTTTCCATCCTTATTCAGATGAGGAACCCATTTGCCCAGCAAAAACAGTGGGCCTTCTTTCTGGTCACAGCCAATGGATCCAGGATAGATCCTACCTCATCCTGGTGATTTGGAATGCTTTCTAGGAAGTCAAACGAGAATCCTGGAATCATGAAAATTGAGCCACAGGATGGTCTGCCCTCTCACGAGCCCACAGACTGTGCTAATGACCAGTAACTCGCCGAGGTACTCCTTGTGGCGAACAGATTTGTTCCTAAGGTCGTAGCAGGATGAATGATGTCAGGATCACAACCTGATAGGCTAGCCTGAGTGCTTTTCACTGTTATGATTTCTACTGCTGCTGCTCCAATGCCCAGGTAGGCCCCAGACCTATAGTCTACTGCCTCAGAGGAAGGATGCCCAATAAATACAGAGACGAAGAAACTCAGCTTCTTAGCCTTTAAAATTAAAGCTAAAGAAACAGGCTTAGAAGAACAGATGCAAAACCAGGTTGCCCTGCCCCCAAACAAACAAATCCTGGCCTGGGAGCACCGAGGAACTCAGTGAGAAGGAAAGAACTGAGATTCTAGATGGTTCTTGGGCAGGTCCGTGGTCCCTGGGCTGAGCTGGTGGTGAAGAGGGAGCCACAGAAAATCTCAGGTGTGGTTCAGGGGATCTGAAAGCTGGGGGAACTTGTGCCAGAAATGGCTGAACCCCCTGGCAGTCATGTCAAGTGACCCCAGAAGAGCTTTTAATGCTCATGTTTCTCCATTCCCTAGAGAAAAATAAATACGTGTTCCAGTGCACCAGAGACAAATCCATAGAGGCTGGTGGTCTGGGCGAACAGAAGTAACTGAGGCTAGCTCAGTGGTAGCGTGCATGAAGCCCTGTGCTCCACCCTAAGCACTGGGAGGCAAAAAACAAGTCGCTGAGACCAAAGACAATAACTAAGGAGCAGACAGAGACGATCATGCTCCAGAAGATACTGGAATGATGGATGATGACAGAGGACAACACATTTCACCACCTCCACTGTCTCAGTGACACAGTGATAGCAGCCACCATTACCGAATACTAAGCAGCACTGATAACCCAGGAAGCACAGAGACGCTGCAGCCAGCATCCATGTGTTTCATTCACTTGACAAATGTCTACTGAGCACATACGATGTACGCATGCACCACCCTAGACATAGAATACGTCAGGTAATAAATGAGATGGTGATTCCCGCCCTTGAGTGCTGAGATTCTAGTGGAGGAAGATGCACAACAAGAAATAGTATCTGTAAGTTATAAAATATGTTAGAAAGTGCTAAAAGCTGTAGAAAAAGGAAGTTAGAGTCTATAGTGCTGGCTAAATACTAAATAGCATGATCAATGTCTGTTCCCTGTCTCTTAATGAATATAACTGTTCTTCAGTATTCCTGGAAAGCTTGGCTCTGGGACATCCTCCCCGCTATCAAAATTGACAAGTGTTCAAGTTCTTATTTATAAAAAAGAATGGTACAGTATTTGCATACAACCTAATACATTTGCCTGTATACTTTAAATCATCTCTAGCTGACTTATACCTGACATCTCATAGCTAACACAATGTAAATGCTACATAAGTAGTTGTCACACTGTACTGTTTAGGAAACAATGACTAAAAAAGTATATATATGTTCAGTACAGAGCCTAGCTGAGGAGCACACACCCAGGATGCAACAAACAAAGTAAGAGGCAGAGAGCAGGAGAGCATATGAGTGGTAAGGGAACAGGGCAGGGTGCAGCCGTGTCCCACTCCATTACATGATTTCAGTGCAGTGCTCAGCACATGGTAGGTTTGGTTTTTCCTTTTTGGAACGCTCTGGAATTTTTTCAAATATCTTTGATCCATGGTTAGCTGAATTCACAAATGTAGAACCATAAATATGAAGCACCAACTGTACTACGAATTTTACCCTTGGACCTGGCATGGATTCTCCACACATAAACTTCTCCTGGACACAGCTGTAACTCTGGGGAATTTCCTGGACCAAGTGATGCTGTTTCCGATAAATACCACAAAGGGGGACTTGACACTAAGGTCTGTAACAGCAGGTTCCCAATGTCCCAAGCTGGCAGTGCTTACTGTGTGAGGGTTCTGCAGGTATCAGTTCATTTTGGCCTCTCTAATCTGAAGCTGATGACTTTCAAAGACATCAGTCACATGCACAAGTCGTATACGTGGTGCGTGGTCCCACCCAATGTGCCAGCACTTCCTCTCCAGCTGCAGCTGCCTATCTTACATGGCCATGTAACCTTAGGTCTTAGGCAGTACTCTCTGCCTGTGTCGGGCGCAGGCTGGAATTGCCTAGGTTAACGGCCTAGAAACCTCCTGACCAGAGACAAACTGGGAGAGGTCCAGTGCAGGGGTAACTGGTTTCCTGAACTCTCCAGCAGTGTCTCTCCATGTTCTAGTTGCCCACAGTGGCCACAGGTTTGCTGACCACCCTATGCCAGTTCCCTCCCTTCCTATCGCCTTCTTCTGTGCTCCCACACTCATGATTTCTGGAATTGCCTTCCAAATAATCTATTTCCATTTCAATCTGAGAGTCCAGTTGTTGGAGCTCAGGCAGTTGGGTTTCTGTGGCTATTAAGTTAGCTATTCTGCAACAGTGTACTTTCTATAGAGAAAGTATGAGGAAAAAACAGGCATTTAAATGCCTGGGGACTGAAGCATGTACTCACTATTCTTGCAAAACTAAAGACCCTTAATTAACAGCACCAAGGCTAACACTAGACTCTCACAGCTCAGAGGCTCTTTCCACCACTTCCCTGGGTCTTCTACTCCATCCTCTCAGCTCTCTGAGGGGTCCAGGATCCCTGGAGAAAGAGAAGCCAGAGAGAGCCAAGGCCTCAAGGGTCCCAAGGCATAGGGAGCCCAGCCCCCAGGCAGAGACGCTGCAGCCTGAAATTGAAAGTTTCCTCCAACAGCATCATTGTCTGCTCCTCAGTTCCTGGTGGGGTGTGAGCACACAATGGGGAACTGGCAGGTCTGGTAATTAGCAGTAATTGTTTCTAATATGGGGTGGCTGCCTGATTTGCCATCCCAGGGTGCCTTGGTAGCTGCCAAGAAATCAGGCTGACACCCCAGAAACCCTGAGCGAGCAAGCTATCACATCCTCCATGGGGCCGGAGGGAGGAGGAACGGCGTGGCTGGTTGCTGCCCAGAAGGCCAACTGGACTGGAGACCATGTTCCACTTCTGCCTCTTCTATCAAGTAGGAAAAAAGGCAGAGGCTACAGTATCAGACCTAAGCCTTGCTGGCCAACTTCCTGTGGTGTGGCCTCTGACAAACCGTTTTGTCACCACACTTTAGTCAGTGCTCTAACCTGTCAACAAGATCACACTATGTCGTAGACACCACACAGTCATTCGGGTGGCTGGCACTGTATCTGATTTAAATTTTTAAAAAACTCTCTATAAACTGCACCTTCCCGTGAAGTAGGCATCACCATGCTGATGGGAAAGAGCCCCAGCCAGAAGAGAAACCACACCTTCCTGTGAGCCAGCTGGTGCAAGGGCTGAAAAACCAGTAGGGCATCCCCAGCCCCCAACCCCCGACCCCCATCCTGAGATTCCAAGTACTCAGTGTGAGACTATAGTAACTGAGGGGAAGGGCATAGCTGGATGCTTACGTTGTGTGGTTGACTCTGCAGTCCTGGGGCTGGTAATCAGGGCGTCTGCCTGGAGGATGGCAGTGTGCATCATGTAAACCAGGGGGATTTCCTCCTGTCTTGTTTTTGAAATCCAATGTTTTGTTCCATTTTACTGTTTTGTCTTATTCCTGCATCTAGTAACCCAAGTAACTATTTTGAAGATAATAATGCACAGTATTGTTCTCACTGTTTTGTTTAGATTTATTGTTTTATTTTATTAAATGTTATGTTTTGGTTTGTTTTATTCTGTTGTTATGTTTTGATTTTGCTATGTCTGGTGATATGGACAACTACTGCGAAAGATAGCAAGATATA